GTGCTGTTGGCTATTTTTTAGCCATTTACAGTTAGTCCCCTCTGGTCTCCAACTATCATAACTCCAGATGCATAGTCTTGCAAATCATCAACAGCTGTGGGGCCACAATAAGAGAACAAGTGCTTCCCACGCTGAGGGGACAAGACTTTAGGCAAGGAAGATGTGCACAGGAAAACATGAGGGGAATTGGAGCAAGACCTTGGTGAAAGGGAGACCCGGTGGTAGAGAGACTGTGGCACTGTGTAAACAGAGAAGCCCTGAGAGAAAGGACTCAGTTACAGGGTTCTGCTGTTCATTCCAGATGCTTGAAGGAGATGCTGACTTAAAACTACCCTGAGGCAAACCTTGCTGGATGATTTGTATTTGTCTGCTGAACTGAAACCAGAGCCTGGACTAATGGAGGAATTGTACATGGGAACTTAAGCTAAAAATTGCACTTGTTTTGGATGATATTCTTTGCCTTTCCCACTATCCAATTTATGTCCCTACAAAGCCCCATTCTTAGTATCACAATTGCGAGTCAAGAACATATAAATGTACCTCTTGCTGTTGGTTTGGCACAAGAGGCACCACGGGGTTGAATTATGGGCTCTTTATTTGCTTTTTACGCTGAGGCAGGGCAGGGGCAGGGTGGGTGGGTGGGGAAGGGGAAGTACACTGTACTATTCTCACTCCCTCTGGCCCTTTCAGAGAGAAGATGACAGCCCAGTGTGCCCTTGCACCATTTTCTACTTTTTAGACACATACTATGGCATCAGTTGATTTGGGGACTATCAGCATTTTAAAAATACATCATCTTGGAGTATCATAGACAGATAGATATATAGATAGACAAAAAGCTTAGTAATGAAAATACTGACTCATGAAACTTTTGTTTGAGTTGCAAGTATGTATGTGTGTACCAACCAGTCAGTACAAATATCCTACTGTTGGCTAAAATAGTATGAAAGTTTAAAATGTTTGCATTTGATTAATTCACTGCAGTGAAAATTAATGTAGCAAAGCTACATATAACAACAAAAAGGAACCTTAGACACAAAAGGTTTGATGGGGAAAAAAAAATAAAAGATTCTATAGCAATATGTTATCATTATTAAAGTTTAATATTGGGCAATCATATTATATAGAAATTAATTTTTATAATTTTTTGTCTCTTTTATTAAAGAATGGAAAGATAAATTAAAAATTCAGAATGGTGGTTACCTTTCCAAAAAGTGGGGTTCAGGTTGAGGTTGGATGGGAGAACCACAGAGACAGAGTGGTCATAATTTGGGTAGTAGAGTCAAAATCTTCCCTTTTTAACACTGCAGAGCATATAGCTTTACTTTAATTAATTTGTATATATTTAATAATTTCTTTTTAAATGTATTTAAATTTAAACAAATAGTAAATGAGGCCTCAAATAATATATTAGCAGCAAGTACAGTTAGAAGAAGATACACAGTACAAGTAATAAAGCTTAAAAGGATGAGTGTCACTGAGAATTCTATGGCTTTGTAATTTCACTTATTAAGTCTCAATTTCAGCAAAATACATTATATTGCTGTGTATGAGTGTACATCACCACATTTACCAGTTCTAGCTTAGATAATGATTATAAAAAAAAGTCCAAAAACATGACTCTGTTTACACAATTATTACTATACATTAGCACTGAAAACCAAGATTCTCTATGTTCTATTGATTACTCAAACAGAAAGACTGGTAACTGGTATAAATGATTAAACCTAAATGTTTACCATCTCAATGGTATCTGAGACATTATCTTCAATCTCTTATATTTGTATACAGGAAATCCAAGGATACTAGGCTAAAATTATAATTTTTTACCCTTTTGGACTTAAACTGTTTACTGCCTTTAAAAATAGAGAGGTTCCAAAGATCTTTCGTTTTGTGGATTACATGTATCAATGTTAACAATTTCAGAAACTAGTTCAAAAGCTTATTACAAATGTTTATTAATTCACTAAAAAAAACCCCAGTAGATATTAATATAGATAACAAGTAACTCTTTTAAAAACAAAAACAACAATTAGAAAGACTGTCACACAAAAAAATAAATTCAAAATTAAAAAGACTGCCACTAGCTCACATTTTTCAAAATCTTCTGAAAGCTATAACAGAAAACAGAAGTATTCTATTTCTGTATATAATTTGGGATATTATATTGTTTTTGCTTAAATACATGAAGAAAATCCACCATAATATAGACAAGTAGGTTGGAAAGAAAATCCTTGCAGATCTCTGAACAGATTCTTTGTACTACACTTTAATAACTACTTCTCTAAAGATTATGTCCTTCTAGCCATCATTACTAAGGCCATGTACCAAATAAGATGTACACAGGAGTTCTGAATTCACAGAGAAAAAAAAAACTAATCTAGTATCACTGGCATTTCTATAACCTAGATTACCTACAGTTTTCTCTGAAACACAATTTAAATGTATATGATGCCCAGATCAACCAAATTTTCTCAAGTTGTTCTGTAAAGGGAAATACTACTGACAGAAAATCAGCTCAGATTACATCAACCCACGAAAACACAAGCCAGAAGAGCTCAGCATCAGCGCAACCTAAAACAAATTAGACTCAGGTTAGTAAATACTTTTTATAGAGGGACAAACAGTAAATATCTTGGGATTTGTGATCCATATGGTCTCTGAAGCAACCACTCAACTCCTCTTCTAGAACAAATATAACTATAGACCAAATCCATTGCCATGGAGTTGATTTCAATCACAGCATTCCTATAAGACAGAGAAGAATTGCTCTATAGAGTTTCCAAGGGTGTAAATACCTATAAAAGCAAATTACATCTTCCTCCCATAGACTGGGAGATGGTTTTGAACCTTTAGGTCAATGGCTTAGCACTGTAACACTGTGCCACCAACTCTCCAACAAAAGAGACAAGCATGTGGGGGGGGGTGCATGTGCAGGCTGTGTAAATGAATGACTATAGCTGTAGCTCTGTGCTATTTTACAAAACAAAAACAGGTCAAACCTGGCTCTTCTATCTTTACCAAAGACTAGCTTAGACTAAACTAGTGATCTCTAGAAATACAGTGAGGAAAACAAAGCCATTTTTATAAAATCAGATCTTTCCTCACTTTTTACCAAGTTGTACTTGAAGACTGGTTTCTCTGATACAGAGTGCTGGAGTACTGCAAAAAAAGAATCCGTAAACCTGCCAACTGAAAAGGTAATGGCTTACTTAAGAAGGGCCTGGTGATCTATTTCAGAGAAATCAGTCATCGAAAATTCTGGGGAACAAAGATCTCTTCTGACATACACAGGATGTCCATGATTCAGAAATCAACTCTACAGCAAATAGCTTGGTTTGTTCCACTCAAACATTCCATATCGCTGTTGTTGTCATTATTGTATGCTGTTCAATCAATTATGAGTTATAAAACCCCACAGGGTAAGTAGAGCTATCCCATAGGTTTTCTGGGCTATTCTTTATGGGAGTAGAGCATCATCAAGTGTTTTCTACCATAGAGCAGCGGATTGGTTCAAATCCCTGACCTTTCATTTGGCAGTCTACAATTAACTATTACACTATTGGGATTTTGTAAAATATCCTTACAAATCCTTAAACACCTTAAGCACATCTCCTCATTGAAGAAAAAAGATGCTAAATAAATGTCAATTAATAAATAATCATTGACGTGTAATGTTGAGTCAGTACTGCTTCATAGATGACCCTCCAGTAGGTTTACAAAAGCAGTAAATCATGTCAGAGGCAAATATTCATCTTTCTCTCACAGAGCAGCTGGTAGGTTTAAGCTGCATGCCTTTGGGCTGGGAACATAGCTACTAACTACCAGGTCATCAGGGCTCCCTAGTAAATAGTCTCAATCACCTAAAATAACACATTTTAAAATAGGCCTATATTTTCAATAAAATGGCAAAATACCTCCAAGAAACCACTTTGAGGATCAACAAAACACTAAAAATATACCAAAGTTATGATTTCTGGTCTTTCATTTTTCTAGCAAATTAAAGGCAAAAGAAAAGTGTACAGAAAAATTATATTCCTATTATTTCTAAATGAGAAAATGTTATTTTAAATTATGCAAAAAAAAAAAAAAAAGACTATACAGAAAACTTTTTTTACTACATTCCAGTTAGTGGCAGGATCTAAGAATGAAAGATAAAACAACTGGAAAGGGGAATTCACTTTTCTAAACAGGGTAGGCATGATATCTTTAAACATTTTTTTTTATTTGAGGAGTATTTCATAGAAATGTTTTAGCAATACCTATACGTGCATAACGATCCAGGTTATATTCCCAAAAAACCAAACCAAACTGACTGCTATTGAGCGGGTTCTGAATCAGTAAGACCCTCATCTGAGTTTGAAAGTAATAAATATTTACAGAATAACACTGCTCATCTTTCTCCCCTGGATTAAAGCTACTATTGGATTCTAAATACCAAATTTGTATTAGAAATACTATGATACTATGTAGTATGTAGAAATACTAACATACTATGCGTTAAGCCACTAAGTCTTCCATTACATATCTGATTGATATGATGTTTCAAATAAATCTTTTTCTGATTAATAATCAGAATAATGATAATTTTTTTTTTCATCATCAAAAGACAACTACGGACCAGACCTTCTGTTTATTCAGCCACATTACTTAAAAGAATTTCTCATCTTTGAATATAGTACGCCACCTTGTGCTCAAAAGACTTCAACCACTATAAAATTCACAGAAACATGCGAATAAACATAGGAAAAATCAAATTATTTTCTCTAGTGTTACAAGGTTTAAGTGGATAAATTCAAAGGCATATAAAACAGACATTTAAAAAATATCTGTATTATAAGTAAGACAAATACTCTATTCAATTTACTGACTTTTTTCAGTTTTTAATTTTACTGTACTTTCACAGAACATTACTGTTTTCATCTTGATATTGTTTAAATAAATAAAATCAAAACTACATGCATTTAAAATAATAAATACATTTTCATAAAGAAACTTACCTTTGAATGTGTGATTGATAGAGTGTCAACCCATACACGCCAACCACCCCATTCATATTTAACTGCATGGTAGAGTAGGATTCTGAATATGGTATATACCATTTCTGTTATCTTTTGTTCATCAGAATTCTTGGGATTAAAATAGCAGAGAGAAAGCATCCATTCTTGCCATACAGAACACTGTAGTAAGCTCCTGAAAATCGTACAAAGTTAATGAATTATCTTTGAAAAAGGATAGCATATGAAAGTAAAAAAAAAGGAAAACATCATGCTACCCTAAAATAATAACATAAAATTCCCATGTGTGAATGTATTCAAAATCAAGAATGTAAATGAAACAGTAATTTAACAATAAAGGGAATTGTGTACATACCCTTAATGTAGGAAGGATATGAAAAAATTATTTCCAGTACTTTAAAGGTTTTATTTATAAACAATATGAGCTTACACAAAGCCCATTTGACTAATGCAAATAAATGCTATTAGATTCTGCTTACCTCCTGTTTTCTCTACTGTTATTAAAAAGTTTAATCATATCAGAAAGGAAGGCTCTGCGAACCTCCATGCTTTCAGGACACTGGGGAGTATTTCGAAGCAGTGTCGCGATTACTTTTAGTATCTCTGCAAGACAGGTTATAAATGAGTAAAAACCAACCCCCAACAAAATATTCACTATGGATGTCTATTAATGAATCATACTTTCCTTAATTTTCCTTAAATAAAAGAATAATGGCATATTTCATAGCAAGCACCTAAAAACAAGATAGTTTTCTACTTTCTACTGCATGACTTAAATGCACAAAGTAAAGCTAATGTTAAAATTGAGACAAGTCAAATTATAAATTAATTAAACAACACTGAAACTTCTGGCAACTCTCAAGAGTGTATGCCATATAGTAAAAATGATCTTATAAAATTCCACAACATTTAAGAAC